ATAATTAAAAAAAAAATGTGCAAAACTTGAGTTCTATTGTAAATGGGATTACCAAGATTAAGGGCCAACTCAAAGGCAACCAATAACAGTATCTATACAATGTTTTTGATTCAGCAATAAAAAACAATAAAGCACTGATACATGGCTCATCATAAGTAAATCTTAAAAACATAAGGCTATGAGAAAGATAGAAAAGGCCCCCCTCTAAGGAACCCAGATCATCTGGAATTATGGAGGCTGCATGAACTACTCTGAAGTTATCTTTAAAGTTTAAATCAAAATTATCTCCTGAAGTCTTAAAATCAGCCTGTTGTTTAAACTTATTTAGTAAAGAATGTCTGCTTTAGGCATTGAGAACTACCTATATGGATCAACATATCGATCAACACAGAAGATAAGGGCTCTAAGTTTATGGTAAGGGAGAAGAGTGATTTTCAAAGGAGTGAGAATGGTTGCACAGCTTTAAGAATGTAACCAATTTCAATGATTTGCACACACAGAAACTGTTGAATTAGGGTATGTTTTGCTGTGTATATTATATTCTCAACAACAAAAAACAAATTGTCAAAAAGAAAATCCCTGTAGACAGAAGTATGCTCTTTTCTTCTGGTTCTTAGTATTCTGGAACTCACTTGTGTTAAAACATAAAAAACTCAAACAAATATAATAAAAAAAAAAGGCCCTATTCAAGGCCTTTGGTGTTTATAAGAAACATCCAGAAGAGACATAAAGCAGATTGGTGGCTCAAGGAAACAAAGAGTTATGCCAAATTATCATAATGTTCTAGAGTGAGTGGTGATGGCTATACAATACTGTACATACATTATAAGACAGGAAATGGTACATTTAGAAAGGGTTAATTTTATGGTGTGAATATTTTATCTCAATTTTAAAACAAGGGCATAGGGATAAAATAATACAGAATATAATCCCCTACTATTAAGTTCTGAGTAGCTAGCACACTAGTAAAATTGTTTAGGACCATTTAAGAGATTTACTGAAATAAAAGATAAACTTACTAAAGGTTACAAAGTCCTTTAAAACTATAGAAATATCCATTCATTACAAATGTAGCATGCATTCAACACTAACACGTATTCAATACATCTCACACAGTGTTAAATACTTCACAGGTATCATGTTTCATGCTCACATTAACTCTATTATGTAGTTAATATTATCTTCATTTATGTAAAGATAAAGGCCCTATCTAGACAGAGCTTTGAAGCCAGGATTATAATGGTAAAGAAATCCAGCCAGCATTCTTTCTGTGACATAGCACAAAAAGAGAAATCAAGGAAGATATATATTAAAACACCACATACCATAGCAAATGAGGGGGGGAGTGCGGAGTAGAGACCCAAAGTCCATTTGTAGGCCACTGGAGATCCCCTTGCAGAGGGGTCTCGGGGAGGAGATGAGCCAGTCAGGGTGTGATGTAGCAACGATGAAAAATAACAACT